GTTGCTTGGTCCACCTGCTCCTCCATCTGAAGCCCCTGGAGCAAGCGAGGAAGGTCCTTCGCCCAGTCCTTCACTCGATGACAAGGTAACTTAATTTCGACCTAATTCTCTGCCGTTGCTACCTAATAATTTACCTGCATTTGTAAATGTCCTCAAGATCTGGAGCATTCCTCCGTTAATCCAACATTATCGATGTCCATAGCTAAGATATCGCCATAGTTCTGATAGAAATGTCGCATGATAGCATCCCTAGGGTTTACTGAGCTTGGCCGCGTTTGCACTTGCTTGGTAGCAGAGTGTCTGAGTTTAGCTGCCACGCGCCACCGACACGCGTGGATCTAGCGAGGAAGAGGACCCTGAGTTGAGATAATTACCATGGTTGAGTCTAGGTAAACCCTAGGCAAAGAAAGAGATCAAAACGCGTCAAAAATGAAATTGAAATGTCAGAATGTCAGATCACACGGGGCTCGAGAGCATTAATTTTTCTGTACATTTTCTCAGGTCACACTGAACCAAAAACATTAATAAATTTAATTGACTCCAGCTTTTAAATATGCCATTTTTCTAATCAACTTAATCGAATTCGTTATTTAATATTGTAAGCGCCATGGATCTGTCTTATGTTGCAGAGTGGAGCTGAAGCCTTGAGGAGCCTGCAGAAGGTGGTCGGAAGCTTGGCTCTGGGATTGACCGCCGCCGCCGTCAGCTTCATGTTCTAGAGAGAGAGAGAGAGAGAGAGAGAGAGAGAGAGATGTGGTTCGTTCTTGATTAATTATATTAATCTCTTTTTTTTTGTTGAAAATTTCCCCCATTGTACTTCATATCATAAGGTGCTTTATTGATTGAATTGATTGATGAAATTTGTTTACAAAATTGAGCACTGGGATAGGATTTGGCCGTATATGAGATTTGTAATTCTTTCTGGATGATGACTTTGGGACCGGATAAATCTTTTATTTCATTTGGATCCTTGTGTGTTCTTTGGTTCTTATTACTTTTACCATCTTGTAATTAATTCTTAGTTTTGTGCTCACTTGCAGTTTCATGTCAAGATTATTAAAATATTGTTGTTCTTTATAGAAATCTTAATTTTGAATATTCAGTGAAAATTAATATCTATGTCACTAAGTTCGAGAATAAAAAGTTAACCAAGATCTTATTACATGTTTGCAACACGAACTCCAATTAAATAAAAATATAAAACACTCGAAATCAAGTCGTAAAAAATGAAATCTATTTGTTTTATAGTTGCAAGCCACGAATCTTCAAATGTATAAGTAAATCCTTGGTTTTAAATTCAATTACTTTTTGAGAGAATACTCCAAAATATATGGAAAAAAAATAAAAAATAAAAAATAAATCAATATATAATGTAACTTTAATCTTTTCAGTAGTCCACCGACGAAGGGTTTTCAATAATTTTTTTTTTWAAATAATAATAATAAAGGAGTGAAAGGGCAGTGTCGGTTTGGTCCATTGGAATTAAGTGATAGGATGGTTGGTCCATCTGACGTGGCAGAACTTTTGGTACGAAGAAATATATTTTTGGTTGGTAATTACTACAAATAAACATGCATGTGGGTGGTAGGTACATAATTTGTAAATCTATATTTCCAAAAATAATTTTGAGCATGCGTGTGGCCAAATTTTGTTTCTTTTATTAAATTGAATTGTACGTGAGTCATGTGCATCAATGCTGTTCAAATTATCCCAGAAATTATTGACATAATTTAGTAATAAGGGTTCAATTAGTCAAAATAATGACTATAAATCTCCTGGTTTCTTTTGGGAGAACTTGAAAAAGGATATCAAATTTTACCATAAAATTTCACTTTTCACTGTGATGTGTGTTGCAATAATCTTTGCGTTAAAATTTGAATAATTATTACCATTTTTACCTCTCGATAGATTTTCGTCGGAAGAATTGTTAAAAAAAGTATTTTGATGTGTGTTGATTAATAAATTATAAAACAAAGTTATTCAAGGTTGATTTTATGCATTGAACAAACTTAGTTAATTTGTGTGAAGTTTGTTTCTCATTATCGAAATTAGTGATTTTTTTTTTGAAAAATTTTACATTACTTTTTTTAGAGCCGCAATTTTAAAGATTTCAACTTGATATTTGGGATGATAATAAATGTCTGATCCATTAAATTACGTGCGATCTTTCAAAATTGAAAAAGAATAAGCATTAAATCGTTTATAATTCAAAATTGGATGAGAAGTTTCATTATAATCTCTATTTAATTTAATTTCTGAGTCACATCTCCATCGAATCTTTTAAGAGGAAAAAAATGGCAGTGTCGTTTTTGGGGCATGCTTTTGCAACTTTTTTACATTGTTAAGAATAAGATATTCCTAAAACCAAAAGCAAAGCAGCAGAAACATTACATAGGATAGTGATGTACTAAAAAAGATGAGTCCAACTTCCAAACTAAGGAAAGAATCCGAATTGCCCTCCAACCTTCAACTTCAATATAATCCTAAAACTCCTTTATGTTATGCTATAGATTCCACGTTAAAAAAATAATAATAAAAGACTAACAAGAATTTATATTATCAGTCGAAGTACCATTTTTGTATCATTGATCAAGTATGTTTCTTGTATAGTATTTTTGTACCATCAATATACTAGTGTAAAGTATATCTCATATGTACCATTTTTATATAATTTGATAAAGTAGATCATTGATATATGTACAATTTTTACAAAATATTTTATCGTGTGACAAATATACTATAGACTAAATTGACTATTATGGTAAAAAAATAAACTAAAGTCTCGTTTAATAACTATTTAATTTTTTGTTTTCTATTTCTAAAAATTAAATGTTATTTATTCGTTTGTTATCTACTTTCTACAAACGTTTTCAAAATCTAAGTTTTAAAAAAATAGATTTTAAAAATTTGTTTTTGTTTTTTAATTTGGACTAAAAATTCAAATATGATAAAGATGAAAAATATGCCTATAAAGTAGAAAGAAAAGGTTGAGCATAATTTTATAAAATAACTAACTAAAAAAATTGTCGTATGTTGACTTGAGATCTATTTATTAAATTGACTTTGAAGACTTATGTTTTAGGTGATTCAAGAGAGCGGATGAGTCTCTATCTTTAGATTATGAGTTGGATAATTAACATACTGGAGTTAGATTTTGAAAAACACCTAAAAGAAGACTATATTAAAGCACAACAAATAAAATCAATAATTGAATTGATTGTATATACATATTCGACAAGAAAAAGATTATTAAACACATATCAGATAACCTTTAAAATATAATACAAAGTCCTCTCAACACCCAAGAAGAGTTTGAAGTAACCTAGCTCTATTTATGAACTATTTCTAGTCTTCATAGATCATAAAAAATCAACCAAATTTTCTATTAATAACATAATACAAAATACATAATTTTATATTATTTTCTTATTTCCAAAAATCAATGCTCCTGTAACTTACTAGGAGTTGAAGTTCGTTGTCTGAACTGAATCGAAGGTTTAAACTCAAGACCTCCTGATATGCACTTGTATTCTCTATCCCAATCCCAGGGACAAAGTACATCATTTCATTTCTACTCAAATGCAAAAGTTCATTTAAATTTATGAAATACAAAAAGTACAATAAATAATCGCTCAAGTCCCACTTTCTATTTCCTGATTGTTAGATCCAGAGGACCAGAGGGAGGTGAAAAAAAAATCAATAATTATAATATGATTATTTTTACATTAAATACATTTTCTAATTAACTGAATATAAAATTACCCTATATTTTAATTGAAAAAATATGTTCATTTATAAAATAATGAACCTACCTACTATAACCAAACTTATTAACTTACCCAACTCAAAATAGGTTGCTACCCATTAAAATTACTACGATGCTAACAAATTGATCCCCTTAATTCTCTCGTGTACTCAATTAGTTAAGACACAAAGTAAGCTTTTGCGAGGCTAGAGGTTTGAATCTCTACCTCACTAGTTTCATTGTGGATGACTGTCAACCAAAAAAAAAAAGGTACAACTTAATTCCTATGCGTTTGTAAAATTGAAAAGGAATTATATTTTCAACATCTTGAATGGATCTTTGATATAGACTGAAAGCCTCTTAAATAATCCAAGTTCAGATGAATACATGAAAATTGAAAACACATTCTCATTACCCCCATACTATACATAAAGAGAAGTTGGCAGCGTCCTTCCTAAGAAATACAAACTAATAAATTAACAAATGCAGACAGCACATGCCCCCAAACATACCTAATCCATACATCTTTACACTCTAGTTGGAGCTGTAAACCATTCTTGTAACCATTTTGCCATGTCTTTCCCTCATGGGTCATTCTACTGATTCATACCCCACTTTTCAATTAAGAAAACATTCTCTACAGAAAGGCTTCTTTCACTCTTTCATTCCCTTCCTCTATTTACAAGTCTACAAATACCATCACCTACAAACTATTGAAACAGCAAATCAAGCACTAACCTTAAAGCAGGAGGAGAAAGATGAAATCTGCTTCTGTTGTCAGTTTGGTTCTCGTTTCGTTGATTCTGAGCTCCTTCCTCCTCCATCATGCCATTGCTGGTTCCCCTACAACCTATGATCCAAGTAAGATAAATGATTTACCATTAATATCAATACTACTGGCAACGGATGTATTAACCTTTCTTTCATTCATCATTCTCCATGAGACTAACTGGTTCATTGTTATTCCTCTTCTCTCTCTCTCTCTCTCTGGTTTTTTTTTTTCTTTTGGTGGGTGGGTGTGTTTGTTTTATATTGAAGGTCTTTGTGATTCGAAATGTGGCGTAAGATGTTTAAATGCCGGGGTGAAGGACAGGTGCTTGAAGTATTGTGGACTCTGCTGCCAACAGTGCACTTGTGTGCCCTCTGGAACCTATGGAAACAAGTCAGAATGTCCTTGTTATAGAGACAAGTTGAACTCTAAGGGCAAACCTAAGTGCCCTTGATTGTTTTTTCCATTTATTTTCCCTCCCTTGAAATTTTCCATTCAAGTGTTCTGTTTTTTTCCATTTTCATTTTTCTTAATAAAAAGTTCTACTTCTTATTAAAAAAAAAAAAAAAAACTTGTCATTCTTTCACTTGAATCACATTTCTTTTTCCTTGCAGTTTCTTAATTGTGAGTGGGTGTCTGTGGTATGAACAACAATTTCATTGAATCAACAAAAACATATTAAAGCTAACACCTTTAAAAGTGGAAGCACTCTAACTAGTTAAACTAATTCTCTCACATATACCAATAAAAAATAATTTTTCGTTTCTGATACTTCATCATGATGACAAATCGTCAGCACTAGGAGATTTGTTCGATAAGGATCAAGATGCACATGGAAGTCAGCTTGTGTTCATTTCAGTACTCAAAATTTTAGACAAATAAGTTATCTACAAACCTATTTGATGATACAAGGGAAAGAAAAAAGAAACATATGCACATACCCAAAAGAAAAGAACAAAACCCCCAACACCATGATCATGAAGAAAATACAAAAAGATGAGCACCAAGTAATTTGAGGTACTTGACCCCTACCTCAACTCAAGCCTAAACCAACTAAACCAATACCTTCACCTCACCTTACCCCCACTATTTATAACTAATAACTTGGCTAATAATTAAGATACTCTTACTATCCTAATAGTATCACTAACTTCTATCCAAATAGCATTCTTATCACTCTACTATCAATTTTCCAAAGATCAGAACAACAACAAAGACTTCATTTGCTATATTGGAATACCAATTTTTCGACATGAAACAATCAACCATCATTCATCCTCTAATATGCTTCTGTTTTTCTTTTCTTTTTGCAATTGTATTAGCCCCTATGTATTCAGATCTGAAAGTAAGTGCACCATGAACACAGCTGCAAGATCCAAACCTTGTTTAAAGTTGTACTCTTTCAGACTTCCAGCATCGTCATACGAGTTTATTCCTGCTGAAGCAACTGAGTAATGCCCGAGCCTGCAAGTAGTTAAAATTTCCTCTTTAAATTCTATTGCGAATTTGGAATCATAGGAAAACAAAATTCATTGCAGTCATGTACCTTATCCTTGGCCCTCGTTGTGCCCGATTGTGACAGCACCACTAATGGAGGGATAGCTCCCTCTTGGATTGCCATAATGCAAAATCTACTAGCGGTTGCACAAATCCATAATAATGCAGCAGCTGCATACTCTTTTGCCCTGGCAGAACCTAACTCAACAGTGTCAACCAACAAACTGATACCACCCTCACGTACGATTTTAATCCTTCCTTCATCTACTGATGCAAGATTTGCCAAAACAACAACTGCCTTCTCAACCATTCCAGCAGATGGATCCATCAGCTCCACAAGATGCTTGATAGATCCAGCCTGCACAATCTTGGCCTTGTTTTCAGTAAGCAATGACAAATTAAACAGTGCAGTGGCTGCATCTTTCTTTCCCTGAGGCGTGCCATCCCTCAACAAGTCAACCAGAGCTTCTATTGCCCCGGACCTCCCGATGTTAACCTGGTTATCATCAATCACTGAAAGACTACCAAGAGTAGCAGCTGAGTTTTCCTTTGCCTCTGGGCTGCCAGTTTGAAGGATCTTAACCAAAGGTTCAATTGCATTGGCCTGAACAATCATAGTTTTGCAATCATTGTCGATTGATAAGTTCACAAGTGCTGTAACAGCATTCTCTTGAATCTTTGTGTCCCTAGAATTTAGCAAATTAACTAAAAGGCTAATTGCCCCAGAATCTGCAATTACCCTGCGATTTTTTACACTAAGCTTGGTAAGCAACCGTAGTTCAGCTGTAGTTGTTCTTAGAGTTTCAAGTGAATCGCTCGTCAATTCCTCAACAAGCTTTCGAACTTTGGCTTTGATGCCAGTGAGATCAGATCTAATCTCCAGTACAGAAGAAGAAACTATTTCAGGAACAAACCTTTCAGATGGTTGTTGGCATGATATTTGACTTGGAGCTTTTGCTATCAACATCAGGCAGGACTTTTTGTTTCTCTCAGCACTATGATCAAAGTGACGCAAGTAGATGGCTCTAATTTTACCTCCCAAGTATCCTTTGCAGCCTATTAGCCTACTCACACTTATTGGCTCTGATGTTTGTCTATCTCAGCCATTGTCTCAATATGACTTCTGAAGAATAAGGAATAGCATGAGAACCAGAGGCGGGTCTAATATGCAAGAGACATCTGAAGAATCCACAAGGAAATGGAATGTAAATGATTGCACAAACAAATGTAAATGATTGCACAAACAAACCATTCTGAAAAACATTATGAGCTTGTAACTTAGAAAATATAGTTTACTTGGTACTAGCTGCCAACTTTAGCAGTTCTCATACGCATCAATTAAATACTCCAGACCATCATCTGAAACTATTTTATACAACTTTCCCAACTTGAGCTCCAAAGATTTCCGTATCTTCTTTATTTTTTAATGATGTTTCAGAACAGTTTTGTAAAAGTTCCCATAAATCATCAGAGTCGAGCATAGCAGAAGCTATTCCTCGGTTGATTTTGTTATTGTTTTAGCTTTTTTTGTAATTTCTTTTCCCTGAAGCTTTACTAGAGATAAAGAAAAGACGCAAATAAAAGGAACTTTTAGGCTTTAACAACGATATCACGATCACACCTAATTCAGTATTAGTAAGAGTAAACCAGAGAGCGATAATAACGATAGAACTTTTTCTTTGAAAGCTAGAATATCATGTACATGTTGGGGAAGAAAACATGAAGCATGTAACAAAAACCATGGAGTACTTATCTGTAATAGATGGAAATCATTTCAGATGTACTAGCAAATAAGTGCAGCTATTGACAATTCGAAACCCATCTTATCAAAAGTACATCAAAAATTGAAATTCTAAGAAAAAACCCATATGCAGAACTAATTTGCTTGCAAGTGGCTGGCAGTTCTTTGGATGACAGTGGCAGAAGTACTGGGACTCAATTTTCGCGCGGTGCAAAAAAAAATCTAGCGGGAAAACTCTTGAACAACTGGATTATAGCACCATAGATAAGATTTGAGATAAGGAGATTAAATTTCGAAGCAGCTAATGCAGATACTAGAAAGAAAGCCATCAATTAAGTAGAAACTTCAAAAAGCTCAATCGAGGAAAACAAATTAGAGAAGAAAAAACAAAGATCTAATCAAACAACGTCCTGGGAATAGAGAAGAATATTATTTTGCCTGAATTTACGAATTATGATGCCGACCTCTTGAAATTGGTGTTCGCCTTCTTGCCCTGCTTCTGAATTTCCCTTTCCTGACAGCTTTTACACGATTTAAAGAAGGAAAAAACTGGTGCGATGAGTAGTTGGGTACGTTTGTTGATGAATAAATTATACGTAAATTGGCGTCATTGTCCAGAATGAAGTAGGAAGAAGGCCGACGAATATTGGACTCGGAGCACCTCCCAAGTTCCCAACAACCTCCACCATAGAAAAGATTTATTTTATTTAAAAAAAGATGCATTGCTCTCTAGTTTTGTCGTCATCTTCCATTTCTCTCTTTCAATTGCATAAACAACGTTTAAGGATCCTTCCCAAATCTTGTGAAGATCCCCAGCTAGAGTTCATCAAAATTTAGAAAAATATATATTTCGCAACTAAGCATGAAAAAAAAAAAAAACGGTAGAAAGAGATATCGCAAAATAGGAGTTTTTTTTTTTTTCCCTCCTCCTTGGAGTTTGACTGAGATGGAACCCACTTTGTTTGATGCATAATTTTGACTTTTCTACCAGTACGAAACAATCACTCATACCTGTGTATAAAGAGGTAGATACTTCGACACCGTCTCAATTTGTGTTATTTGTCTAGGGAAGAACAATCACTCATACCTGTGTATAAAATTTTATCTCTTGTATTCAAGTTATTCAATTATGGTATCCATTCATTGACCACTTTGTAGGTCGCGTGAATGGTAAATTCAACAATATTGGCGAGTTGGGAGTTCAGTAGCAATTGAATAGCAGTTATAGGTGGTGATGTGATATAGTTCAACCCGAATAAGAAGATAATGAGCTATAAATTAAGGTCTAGGTATTTCTTGGCCGAGCTATAAATTAATGGGTAAATTTCGTACCTCAATGGTTAACTCTTCTTATTGGTCTACATGTCATGTCATTTTTCACCACTTAACACAAGTTCGAGTTGGACTAATATTGAATCTCACTCTTATTTTTTCTGACTTGGCTACCACCAAAACATTACCTTTAGTAATATCTTGATTCTTTCCTTGCCTACGTGGCTTGACACTCTTAATTATATGCTTTTGAACTCATTGTTCGACTTTATACTCATGGAAATTTCATTAAACTCTGAAAAGTTACCCTGTCATGATGTGATGTGTTATTAAAAAAAAAACAATGATATGTGTTCGATTAAAAATTTAATACATCGATAAATATTAAAGATTAAGAATCAAATTAAAAATGATCTAAAATATTAGATACCAATGAATGATATACGCACCCACGTGTATATATATTTATATCATTGGCCATACGTTCACATAGATGAAAAAACCTAATAATTTTTTTTATAAGGTCAACGTCAACACCATCGATTGTAAGAATCATGGGATTTGTACCATTAATTATTTTGCATGTGATGTTAACTAAACAAAAATTAAGTCCACCAAACAATTAAGCTATAAAAGAAGAAAATATTTGGATTTAAATTATAGTTTAGCCTAGTTTCACATGTAGACCTTTGGTTTCTGAACTTTATACTGAAAAGAATACTTTAATTAGATCTTTCGGCTAAATGGATCGAAATCAAACAATACTAATCAAGAAGTTACAAGTAATGATGGATCTACATCCAAGTGTTCACTTGTGAAAGCTTTCAGTCCCTCCCAAACAGGAAGCAAACATAATGCTCTCATGTTTAACTGAGTTTATACTGGCGGATCTGTTCACTGTTTCCTGATTCTGAGGCGATCATCAGCTCTTGCTCATCTTAATTTATGTTAGGCACAGAAACCATCAGCCACCACCTAAAACAAAATATCATTGATTTATCTATCCAGTTGTTCTTGTCTCTACAGATTAAGTTACAAAGACGTGTGTGTGAGTAAACAGTAATTAATGGGAAATTACATAGAAGTAATTAAGCCATGTTATTTGTTAATTAACATCAATGATTGGAAACTAGAAATCCAAACAGCCAGTAGGAGCTTAAATAGATTCAGTGGCCAGTAAAAGTCTTAAAAGTGATATAGATGATCCATCTGCTACCCCAAAAGATCAGAAATAAAAGCACAAGTCTTTTCCAACATATCTAGATGCAAAATTTTCAAAATGAAACAACATAATCAAAAAGTTCATAAGAAATTACTTCATTTCTTTTAATGGGTTTTACTGCATTTCCTTTATCTGTTTACAAATCAAGAAATTACTCTACACATATACCTGATATAAACATTATTTGTGGTATGAAAATTTACATGCCCTCTGAACAGCAGTGACATCAAAGGTTCACGTCATGGAAGGTCGCACATACTTGAAGATTAGTGTTTTTCAAAATTACTATGCACATGCTTTCTGAAGATGTTTAGCAGTTCCTAAGCCTCAAAATTAGTTTTTTCCAACAGTACTATGCATATGCTTGCTGAGGACGTTAAGCAATTCCTGCGCCTGCAATAACAACTTTATTTTTTTAATTCATTTTTTAAAATTGGAATCATAGAAGGACAGAATTGATCACAGCGAGTACCTTATCCTTGGCCCTCCGAGTGCCAGATTGTACTAGTGAAACTAAGGGTGGGATAACTCCCTCTTGGAGAGCCACGATGCAAAATTTTTTAGAGGTTAAGCAAATCCGTAATAATGCAGCTGCTGCATTCTCTTTTCCTCTGGCGGAACCCAATTCAATAGCCTCGACCAACACAGGGATCCCGCCATCCCCACCAATTTCAATTTTTCCCTCCTGAATTGTAGCAAGATTTGCTAGAACAGCAACAGCCTTGTCAACCATTCCAACTGATGGATCCATCAAATCCACAAGATGCTTAACAGCTCCAGCTTGCACAATCTTAACCTTGTTCTCTGGAATCATGGACAAATAAAACAATGCAGTTGTTGCATCCTTCTTTCCCCTAGGAGTTCCATTCCCGAGTAGTTCAACCAGAGGCCCAATGGCCCCAGACCTCCCAATCTTTACCTTGTTTTCCTCGACCATAGAAAGGCTAAAAAGAGTGGCAGCTGAGTTCTCCTTTGCCTCAGGGCTTCCTGTATCAAGGACACGAATCAGAGGTTCAATTGCATTGGCCTGAGCAATGGCAATTTTGAGGTCGCTACAAATTGATAGGTTGAGTAGCGTCGTAACAGCATGCTCTTGGATTATTGCATCTGTAGAATACAGAAATTTGACCAAAAAGCTCATTGCTCCAAGTTCTGCAATCATAATCCGGTTTTCATTATTAAGCTTTGCAATAGACCGGAGTTCAGCTATTGCAGCTCTTACAGTTTCAAGTGAATTGCTATTCAAGTCCTCAACCAACTTCTGAACTCCGGCTTCAGTACCTCCAAGATCAGATCTGGGCTCAATCACAGAAGAACAAACAATTTCAGGAAGTTTGTGTGGCTGTTGCCCAATTATGTCACTTTGGGTTCTTTCCACTGACAGTCTGAGTGGGAATTCTGGTTCGACTTGTGAGATGGATGGAGTCATAGAAGCTGGTGGCTCTGATTTTACTTCCTCAGAAGTATCCATGGTGAGACCTGCTGGTCCAACTGATGACACCGGTGAAGTGGTGTCATTTGAATCTCTAGATACAACTTGTGCAAAAGTAGGATTAGCATTAGAGGCAGAGAAAGCAAAATCATGAACGTGAGATTTTTCATCTGTAACATTGGGACGATCTGTTCTGTATAGTGAGACGAGGTGGTCACTGGATATATCCATATTATCTTCATTCAAGTTATGGTAATCTTCTGAGCTTGAGATTGAAAACCCTCCAAAATCCAACTTCTCCACACTTTGAGCCACCACATGTGGGGAATTTACCAGTTGAGAATAAGGACGAGCAGGAAGATGGTTACCATCACCTAAATTAAAGTTTTCCTGAGTAACACCTACAGACAAGGTTGACTCTGGGGGTGTTTTCTGATACTCCCGTGAACGTGCAAAAGAGGAAAATTCTTTAAGTTTGCCAGAGTCCCTGTGCCTAAGGTGACAGGACTGATTCAAGTTCTCAAACTTGGAATCAATCAGCTTCACATTGTTAGACAAACTTGAAATTTGTGCCTTTCTACTGTAACTTGGTGTTATCATAGTGTCTGATATTGGAACCGAGCTACAACTCTGGGACTTCTTCAGCACAATTACGTGCTCATGCGTGTGAGTTATGGGAAGCATTTCACCAATATGTTCAGCTTCTCCTGTTGTTCTCACTTGTTCGGCATTCTTTTTCAACTTTTCAAGTGCCAGAATTTCCATCAGAATCTGCTGGTTTTCAAACACTCTCCTATTGATCCTTCAGGACACATTTAATTAAGATGAAGAATTGTTCATTCACGTGCCTCAGTTTGCTGCAAGCCATTAAAGTGAGAAAAATAAGGTCATAGGTTGACAACATTACCCACTAGAAACTCAAAGCACATAATGCATTCCAAGCCTAAGCATAATGGAATAGACCAGAGAAGTCGTGCATCGAACTCAATTAGTAATTACAAAATAAAAGACAACAAAAACATGAAAAATCCTAACTACCTGAAGAGAAGTTGAACCAACTTCAGCAAAAAGATGTTCGCAGGAAGACTCTAGCTGCAGGAACACGTCCCTGTTTGATCCGTAGGCCTTGGATATTAAAGATCCTCTTTGCAGAACCCTAGACAAATGTAAAAGAGAATAGGTTAGAAGCAAGGATCACTAATTAAGACTCTATCAGGTCTGGATTCCATTTTCGTTATCTATTCCAATTCCCAATTGTAATTCATGCCCCAGATCCTCTTTCTGTCGACTGAATTTCGTAGTACCTTTTGATCAGAAGCATCATAGGAAACGGAAACAAAAGAACAAATAATCCGAAGCTCGAGGATTAGGCACGAAAGGCCGAGAAGAATCCATTTCAAAGAAAATGGACGAAAAACACCAATCGAACGGGAAAATTCAAACCCCCCCCCCCAAAAAAAAAAAAAACCAAGGAAACGAAAATTACCCGGAAAGTGAAAGAAGAACCAATCGCGCCTAATCGTGGCTGTCGCCGAGTTTGAGGCTTGCAGAGAGCATTAAACGCAAAATTCCGCTTCTTCCCCTGCGACTTCTTCCTACGTTATGAGGAAAACTGTAGAGAATAACATACAAATTTACGATTTGAATTTGACTCGTTTTTGTAGTCGAATAGAATTGTGGTTACGCCGCCGCGGTTGCTCCGGTAAGAGGAACATTGAAGATGTCGTCAACGCGTTCATATTTGGGTAAATGACGGCACGCTCGTGAGCAAGCACAGTCGTCAATCGCATACGCTTTAACTTTATGAGGTCAATACTCACCCATCCTGAGGCGTGCCATCCCTCAACAAGTCAACCAGAGCTTCTAATTCAAGAACATATAACAATTAATGAAAGTATTGATACATTAACGACGTTTAATGTTTTGATTAGGAGGTACACATCTTAATTTCTTTTTGGTGTAGAACATCTGAGGGTGGCCATTTAAAATTTATAACAGGTACAAAAATGTTGAACTCAAACCTTACTTAAAGGGGGATTTGCAAATAATTTTGAAATAAAAGATATAATTAATAACAATTTCAATAGGCAACCGATAATTTATACTTATTTATGAAGAATTTTGAAATGCCTAACATATTAGAGCTCACCTTACAATAAAATCAATAAAGTTATATTTATTCTATTGATTAAAAAAATAACATCCTTGTATTGAATCATAATAAATTTTTTTATGCGACGATCCAAGTTTTTGAAGAAAAAAAAGAAAAAAACTATTTTAGCAAGGCTAAAATTACTTCCAAACATATTCTAACTCTTTTTTATTGACAATTTCATTTAAATATTTTCTAATTTAAAGAATCACACCGAAAAAATCCTAGTAAAAAAAAGTTTATGATGATGAGTTAAAACCTTCAAAATGAGAGGTGCTACCCAAAACTCCTTGATCCAATGTTGAGAATATTGCATGTAAAGTGGTAATAATCATTTATGGTAAAGTTTGAGGTGAGGTGGTTTTCATGAGACATAAGTTCATTACCATATTTATAAGTCATAATGTCTTGGGCTAGACATAATTAGCACGAATGCATGCTTTCGTGAAAGTTTTTTTGAAGTGGAAATAATATAGTTTAGGCTCTATATGATAATCACGGGATAATTTTACCTTAAATGATCATATCAAATAATCGAAAAAGATATCCATACAAAAATATTTGATTTATACCATTAAAAAAATAGTAATATTAACTTCAAATTTGTAAATATCAAGTGGAACATATATCTTCATTAAAAAAAAAACCCAAGTATTGAGGTATGTTAATATTTATGGAAATACACTTAAAACATGTTCGTATCTATTGCAAAATTGGCTTAAAAGGGAGAAACTTTTTGATAATTTTCTCTTTTGCTCCTTTTTTAAGGGGTATTATTTGAATGATATATCTTTTGTTTTTTTTTTAAAATTTAATTATTATTAACAAAAAAAAATTACTAAGTCTAAAAGTTACCCCTAATAATTATTCTCAAACTTTGTTTTACTTTGAAAACACGTGCTGTGTTGGTAGGTGTCAACTAGTAATAATGATAAAGGTAAAATATATTTCTAATAATTGAATTTGAGGAATGGTTCTAAATGGTCCCTGAGTCTATTTGATCGGTAATTGACTAACGGAAAAATGACGTGGCAATAATTGAGTTGGCAAATTTTAAATGACAGTATTACATAATTTTATATTATTTTTATCATATGTCATAGGGTAATTTATTCTTTTTATTATTTTTTTATTTTTCTCTTCCCTCTCTCTCTTTAAAGAGTTGGTTCTAAGGCCATCGATCCTGGCAGCATTGAACAACTGAATCTGAGCCGGACCATAAGATTCAAAAAGACAAAAACCTAAATCGGAAAAAGAACTCGGCAGATATTTCCAAGGAAGTTCCGGAAATTTTTCAATCCAAATTCGAAGACAACTAGTTTTGAAAGGGAAATACGAACAAAAAACCTAATAAATATTTCCAAGGAAGTTCTCAAATAATCGCAATCCGAATTCGAGCAGTTACTCTTTGCATAGCTTCAAAAGGGCAAATGCGGACAGAAAAACCTAAAAACTGAAAATATATAACGCCAAATATTTCGAAAGGAAGTTACAAAAGAACCAGAAAGGATCCTGATTAGAGCCATTAGATTTAGCATATTCCGAAAGGGAAAATCCGAACAGATAAACATAAAAACGGAAAAAAAAAATTGACAAATATTTCCAACGGAAGCTCTGAAAAAAATTAATTCGAATTCGAACCGTTTGCATAATTTCCCGTGAACAACTGAATCCGAATCATGGCCTTAGACCCAACTCTTTAGCCTGAAATTTCTCATAGGGAAGAGAGAGGGGAAGGAATAAAAAAAAGAAAAAAAATTCCACGTCATTTAAAATTTGCCAACTCAATGCCACGTCATTTTTCTGTTACTCAACTAACAGTCAAATAGCTTAGGGACCAAATATACACTTATCCTCGGTGTCTATTTTACCCTAATAATAATGGTTTTCTTTTATATAAATCTTCTTCCGAAAATGGGCTATTTGCTATAATTTCCAAAGGCCCATTCCAATCATAGGTTGGGCCCAAGGCGGCCACAAATCGTACGACCGGTTGGGCCCCGCTTGATCCAGAACGAGAGATTGTTTTCGTGGCAGGTCTTCCGGTTGGGCCCAGATTGATACATAATGGCCCATTATTTGTACGATAGTTCTTGTTTTGAAATTGATCTTACAAATTTTTTCCCAAAATAATAATAATAGCAATAATTGATTTTTAAATTACTAGTTAAAATATATACTTTTCATCATAAAAATGATATAAATAATCAAATTGATGTGATGTATATTAATTTGGCATGTCAGTAATGATGTGTTTAAATCCCACAGATACTAATAACTATTAAGCAAACTTTGGTTTTTTTAGAATTACAAAATTTACTAAATAAAATGATTTTTCATTTGAAATTTGAAAGCATGAGATGGATCAAATATTCCTTAGAATAATGTAAAATATAGACCTATTCGAGATAAGAGATCAAAGAATCGATCGTACTATGTATCTTATCTATTAAATTATGTTCGGATTGATATATATCAACCTTTATTATTCAAATTTTGTTGAATTCATTTTTACAAGGTCATGTTTACTTAGGAAAATGAAATATGAGAGAATTAGCAGCTTTGTCGTTGATTCTGATATTATTATTGACTAACTTTATACATAAACGAATAATGATACTCACTGATTCACACAAAAAGCTTAACTTCATTCTTATGACTAATTTCTTTAACGAGGATTAAAAATGTCATTTTCTCATTCCTTTATTTTGGTAAGTCGGGTGATTTTTAAAAATCTCTTTTAATTTAAATTTGATTCCAATCAACAATATCAATTGACATTCCCTTTCACTTCAACGGCTGTAAAATAATTTTAACAAAAATTATCTCAGATTTACCTTTAAAGTTTAAAGTTCCTTTTTGGCGTCGCCAATCGAACAGTGGGAGGCAAAATTTTGAAATACCAAAAAGGTAAAAATGAGAAGTCCCATTCATTACTGACTAAGACATTAGAATTTCAAAAGGGAAGAAAAAAGTAACAAAAAGATCTGGAGGGAAAGGGTCGACAGTCGACACTGGTAAAAAAAATAATTTTCATAAAATAAAACACAGAAGACAACAAATCATACTTTGGCTTTTTACAAAACAGTAATTGCTGTTTTTTTACCCTGTCGAAATAGTTGAATTGTGGGTTCCATTTCTTTGTTCTTAAAGAATGTCCAACTTCGAGGGAACAAAGGCTTCCAACACTGTTCTATATGCTTCCATTATATAACCTCCCGACTTTATTTATTTATTTTTCTCTTTAACTTAATCAAATGATATATTAATTAAAATGTGAAGTTCAACCTTAATTGTAACTCTTAAACTAAATTAAATAAAAGTGGTAAAAGACATTCTTTAATTTGAGTTCAATGTTGTTTCTTCTTTTACCGTTCTCTCTTTTTACTTTGTTGTCAAAAGTGTAAACCAAAATCAGAAGTAGAGAAGAAGTAAAGATATTTTGAATTTGTGTAAATTTAGGTAAAAAAAATATAAACAACAACATACCCAATGTGAAAGGAAGGATTTATTAAGATTTGCAAAGTATTAAAGTTAGGCTTTGTTTGGGTAAATTTTAAGTAAAATTATGTGTTTGATGAGACAATCCAACACTAAAAAAGTCTCTTTTTTAACGTGGTTAAGTATACTTTGAGCGACAAAGTGGTAAATTTAAAAGTTTTCAATTTAATTTAATCTTCCTTTAACAACTTTTAAGCACTTTTTAGTTACTTGTAGCCACCGACCATCTTGCGTTTGTCGCTTATTGGCATTTTATTTGCCTCCTAATTAAGCAAGTTATATACACACATACATATTTATGTTTTAAAAAATAATTAATTCAAACATAGCTAGAGCTAGAGTGTGAATGGAATAGTTTCTGAGATCAAGTAAAGTATTTGCTAGTAAAAAAAAAATATTTTAGTTAATTAAAAGTCTAATATACTCAAATTTTAAAGTTGCGTGGCAGATGTTGGTTTTTCTTTTCTTTACTGATTCTATAACAATTCGACGACTTGTAGGTGCTTTGCTTAATTGGCCATAATGGTCGGTCTTCTTCCTTTTATGAGTTTTATAGAATTACTAAAAAAACAACGGGCTTTCAAGTAGCTCTTTCAACTGTCGCTCAGATTGCATTAAAAAAAAAAAAGTGGCTTATTTGAAAGAAAGGACGGATACAGTCGTGTTTATGAAACAATGATGGGTTGTTTACGACACAAGAACTTGGTTCAGCTTTAAGGATGGTGCTCTAAAGCTCCCCTACCTGTCCAAGTACCTGTTGCTTTGCTGGTAGGCCCACTTAGGTTATCCCTCGATTCTTAATTTCTTTGTTGTTGGTGTCATTTTAAATTTTAAAATATCGTTAGTGTTATTTAAAATTTTGTTCTTAATATCTTAAAAGTTATAATCTTTATTCTTTATATCTTTATATGTTATTTTCAATTAGGAGGTATGCATTGACAAAGTGATTATGTGATATTACAATGCATTTTATTAATTTACTAAAAAAATACCTTTTACTAATTTAGTTAGAAAAACCATTTAATTCAAAGGTTTGGACACCCCACTCCAGCCATACAATTAGATACTGACTCATTTAATCACATGCATGACTCCAAATCTTAATAATTATAGAAAGTAGATTACAGCCATTAAAAATATCACGGCATTGACTTTGTCAC